ATAAACAATTCTAAAAACATGCTCGATTTTCATGAACTGCTTGGAAAAGCTCGGAGCCGTTGGCACTGTGCGTTCACGACTCGTCTTCAGGGCGACTTTCGACCTTTTCCGATGCAGCACCGCCTCTGCAGGTGTAATGCCGCAGTCACTGTAGGGAATGAGTCACGTGATAACACGCGGAGGCGGGGTCACAATTGACACCCCCCGGGCCTTCTTGACAGTCTTTGCTCTGCGCTTTCAGTGCCGCTGCCGGCCGTCTCGTCCATCAACGTCTACGATGAGACCCTGAGCACCATGAGGGTCCGCTGGCAGCCGGTAGACGGAGCCAGCGGCTACATCGTGCTCTACCGATCCATCAACGGCACCGAGCCTCAGCTGGACAAAGAGGTAACGCGGCGCACGCAAGGCCGCGGCGTGTCGGACAAACGCGGCACCGTGAAAAGACTCGCCGGCCGTCTGTTGGCAGGTGCGCGTGCGAGCCGACGTGAGCGACATTCAGTTGGCGCAGCTGCTCCCCAACACGGCGTATTCCATCTCGGTCTTGGCTCAGTACGGAGAAGCCATCAGCCAGCCGATGAAGTCCGTCGGAGTCACATGTAAGTGCACGCACTCGGCACTTGGGAACTTAATTGATTGCAGGTGGCAGAAGGTCGCATGTGGGATGTGCACATCACAAAGACGTTACTCTGGCAGTGAACTTAACACTGGCCTGGCCTGAACAGAGTCCTGACCTGAAACCCGCGACAACACCCTTGGGATGAATTCCATCGGAAATTGGGAGCCAGGTCTCTCTCTTTGTGGAATTTTCTCCGAGACCTTCAAAGGGCTCTCAAGTCCTCCCTGACAAATCAAGAAAAAGTGACTTTGGGTCACCGCCGCCAGTCAACTCGCATGATTTGTTTGGCAGGCTTTTCTCGCCGGATGCCCCTCCTGACGTAACGCACCATTTTTGTCCGGGCTCGGGACCAAAGCCCCCCCAACGGATCAGTTCAAGCACAAAACATGATGACTGAAGTCCATGACCCCTTCTTCTGCCCACACTGATCTTCCCACCAAAAATGTTCCCGATGTGCTATTTAAGTCCAGGTTTTTGGACAAGTGACGCCATTTGAAACGGGAAGTGAGAAAACCCCCCCCAGATTTTGGCCCGCGGCAGTTGATTGGTGGATATTTTGAACAAAAACTTGTCAGCCAGTCAGAGAAGGGCTTTCCTCGGGT